ACGGCGAGTTGCTTTGAGGGGCCATTGGGGAAGTTGGACGCGGAGAGCCAGCAGCCGGTATTATGTGACAGAGTGGAGGCGGAAAGCGAGCCGCGCTAAGTATGTATGGCCAAAAAAAAATAAGCCCGAGCTACTTTGATTTTGATTTGACGCTCGTAATAACGATTTGCTAATCATTACCGCTTATTCCCGCTCAGGATGTAAGGATGTGCAAGGGCGCATCCAGTACATAGTGGGTCCTCAAGCTCGAGGCTTTAACAAAGTCCTGAATATATTTATATACCCATATCGAATATTAAATGTCCGTATGTAATATCAAGCAAGCACTTCAGATCTACTATGTACATACATTCACCTCAGAAAAAATCCATCACGACAGTCCCAAAGCTTTCCTCATCGCCTGATAATTAGGTGACCCAACTCCAGTGACTGGATCCCAACCTAGAGAATATGGATATGAATATGATATAGATATACATGAGACATTGTAGATAAGAATGAACAATAACCCGTACCTTCAAGAGCTGGAAAACCAGTTGTACCACATCCCGGATTGCTTCCTGTTAAAATGGAACGGTGAGCATATATGTATGTATGTGTGTACTTGTGTGCGGAGCAATCAAAGCTTGAATCGAACTACGCACCATCCGTGATATCATTAAACGCCTCCGGATGCGCATAAATCCACGGATTCATAAACCCCATCGGCGCCTTTCCCTTCCCCAACAACTCATCATTCAACAGCGCCACGACAGACGCGAAAATCGGTGACGACGCCGACGTCCCCGCCACCGGTGTGACTGCCCCAGCCTGAACGATCTGGATCTTATCCCCCTGCGCCGAGACGTCCGGGAACCCGCGTCCGGAGCGGTTGAATCTGCCTTTGTACAGGTCATCCCCGATGGCGGCGAGGTACGTCGCTACGGCGGGTTGTTGCCAGGACGGGGGGGTGAAGTAGTTGGAGAACCCCCCTGCGGAGAGGTCGGCGCCTTTTTCGGGGATGTTGGCGGTGGCGCCTACTAGTGTTGCACTGGGAATGTAGTGGTTAGGAATGTGTGGAGTGGGGGATGAGGAAGGCTTACTATGGGCAAGTCGGCCAAGCGGCTAGGAATGGCTCGTTATCACAATCTTCTCCTGGTGAGGAGGCGACCCCACCGTCTCCGGTAGCATACAAAATCGTCACCCCACGAGCGGTGAGTTTCATGAACGCGTCGCACATCGCACTATGTACCAATCCAAAGTAAAACAAAACAAAACAAAACAAACAAACGAATCAAAACCTTGAACACCGGAACCAAAGGAAAGGAAACACAACATACAAAGTCAACTCTCTCGACAACCCACTCTCATCTCCCGCGACTCCATAACTCGTCGTCAACACCAACGGGGGATTGGTTTCCGCCAATAAATCATTCACGATATCGAGGAACCCCCCGTCGTCCCCATCGTGTGTGTCATCACCCACATCGACGAAAGTCGTTGGGATACCGTTTGCTAGGCCGACAGTGTATTGGATGTCCAGGTCCTATATACGTTTGAAGCACGATTGATTTATTTATTTATTTAGATCGAGGATCGAGGGTGGCACCGGATATACGGGGGAGGAATGAATGAGGGAATGGAACCACTCACCGCTTCGATACCAGAATCCGAAAGTGTCTGGCTATTCGTGGCGTTATCCAGAAGCTCCGTCGCGAAAGTGTCGGAAGATAAATCTGGTCTGAATAGTTTCAGGAAACTTGCCAAGTCGGCCTATACATATAACAATACACAATACACAATACACATCCATGAGCCCTCCCCCTCTCAACCAAAGTACACCAGGTGAAAAAATACGAACCTTATTAGCATCTTGTCCCGAAAAAGCCGACACTGCAATAACGTTAGGTAACAAGTCCTCGAATCTCAGTGATGTACATATATACTCACCTCCGATAGTACTATTACTCGTCTTAATAACCCCTGTCGGAAGACCATACAGCGTCTGCAGACACGCTGGAGTCACCGTGTCGTTGCATTTCGAGAAACTTGCTGTGGAGGTGGGGATTGCTGCACTTGAAGAAGAGGATGAGGAAGAGGCGGCTTTGTTGTCGGCATCTGCTTGGGGTGCGAGTGTAGTCGGGGAGGAGCTTGATCTGTGGTGTCCGCTGAGGGAGATCACCCTGGGACCAGCGGAGTGGTAGAATCTGTGTTACCAAGGAGTATGAGTATGAGTATGAGTTAGGGTATCAAGGTTTAAACCCCCCAACTCACGAAGTCGTCGGATGTATCGCCCTAATATGCTCCCCCAGCTCACTCGGCACGCTATACTCCAACGTCCTCACCGACTGCTTCCCGCTCGCTGTGTGTTCATACACCTTATATGTCGCGTTAAGCATGGAATTCGCCGTCCCCACTGAGACGTTGAATTTGATCCAGTCCCCGGAGACGGTGGTGGAGTCCGGGGTGATGTTGTTCGAGGAGAGCCATGTGCGGACGGAGAAGAGGGCGTCTCGGGAGGGGGCGGCGTAGTATTGGACCTGGGTTGTAGTGGAGGGAAAGATAAGTAAGTAAGTAAATAAGTAAATCCTATCCATGAGAAAGAAAATCCTTTGGTACACACATCTTCCCTACTCAACCACCTCCCATACGCCTCACTCCCCGGATCACTAGCCTTGTTCAACGCGTCCTCCAGGCCCGTGCGGTTCCCCATGGTGAGACTGATCCGCATCTGGATCATCGAGTTGAAATCCGCGATGGAGACGGGGGTGTAGCCTTTGGGCACGGCGGACCGACGATCGTGGATGGACATGGGATTTGCGCGGGAGTTGGGTGCGCGGGGGTTGGGAGTGATAGAGGCACCGTAGGTGACTGCGATAGAAGCGAGTGAAAGTATCACTTGCAGTGTATAACGCCACCTAGAAGGGACCATGGTCGGGTACGAAGAATGGACTCTAGAGGGTAAGAGGGTAAGGGAACAGACAAAAGGACCCCACTAAAATCACTTTATATACCAACCCAGTCGACTGTCTGTCACCACCCTGCACCCCTAACCAGAGAAAAATGAATTGTGTTGACGAAACACAGCGCCTGAAGAGCGCTCTAAACAACGCGTGGGCGAGCAATGATTTGCGGTTGATTGCAGTGCAATTGTTCGTAAATGATATGCATCTCGATATCTGGGATTCCACACAGAGAAAAGGCATTGAGAAAAAAAAATACAAGTATGTATATGGATGGGTGGGTGAGGAAAATTGTACAAAGAGTCGGAGGAATTGCGCTTTTGGAAAGTATGTTCATCGATTAATCACCGTTGCTGCTTGACACGAGTTTTTCGTCTCCACTGATAACCATCCGATCAGGGATTATTGTGCCGATGTTCGACTTTTAGTCTTTTGGCACTGCTTGTAGAAGCCGGGACGCTCAGATCCGTTTGTAAGAATTGGACTGCACCGTTCAGGACGACTGGATAGATTGACCAAGCTAAAGTCTTTTGTTGAGCGCAATCCAAGGCAAGTCAGTAGCAGCTCTTACGATGTAGTTTCAAGAAAACGATAGCTGGGCAAAACCAGCCACAAACGTTGTACAATAGATATCTATCTCTTCGATGAAGTTGTCGTTCAGCTTGATGAAGTTATCGTGTTGTATGCTCTCGTATGCCAGCGCTTCATGAAACGTTCGATGACAACAAATGACGGGTGTAGATTGCAACCCGAATTATTAAAGTAGATGGGGGGCAAGGAATTCAAATCAAACAAGCCAAAACATTTACAATAACGGGCGGTCAAACAAACTTGATTCAAGTAAGATACAACTAGTCCATAGTCCGTAAACATAACAAACATAAGAAAGATATCGTGCATGGATGAATATCAATACTCTCAGATGCAACACGGAATAATGAAGCAACATCCGCCATCCTACACGCATGTAAGCACATCGACTTAACTAACCAACAAACAAACATCGCTGCTCACCGGACACGGAATACATCCACCCCTCAATCTCTGCACTTTTTGATTTCTATCACGCTGTTCCCGCTCGTCTACGCTGATCATCGACATGGAATGAGTCACTGAGGGCTGTGTCACGATAGGCGCAGCAGGTGATATTATTGGTGAGGATGCTTTTCTGGTTAAATGCGCTGAGGGCGGGTAAGCTGGGGTAGTTGAAGACATGGCAATGGCAAGGCTGGTACTATGTGAGAATGGGTAACAGGTTTATAAGTGGTTCAATTGGAGTGATGACGTCAGGAGTGGCGCAGACGCGTCACACACTACTACTACATACTACTACTATCACTTGGCTTCTCCGACGAGAGTTTCTACTATCTCCACCGCCCGCTTGAATTGCGCTCTCTGCTCTGGTGTGGGTTGGACAGTGCTCGAGCTATAGATAAAGATTAGATTAGATATAGATGTGCATCGTTATCAGATAGATAGTAACACACCCCGGTTGCCCAGTAACACCCCCCATCCCCCCATTCATCCACTGCAAATCATCACTTCCCCAAAAAATACTAGTATCCAATCCATAGATATCCTCCGACCCACGCGGCTCCTCCGTCGGCAACTCTTTCAATATCCCATGAAGCTCGTCGATAAGCCCTTCCACCGACACAGAGCCCAACGCAGTTACTTTGAGTGTACCCAACCCCAGTGTCTTGGGAGCGAAGCTTTGGAGATCGGGCGTTCCATCAGGTCGGGAGGCTGATGTGATGTTGAGCGAGTCGGAATCGACTGGGCGGGTGATGGTTGCGATGAACGAAGGCGTGGGTGGCGCGAAGCCGCCGGTTATTCCTGTGACAATACACACTGAGTAACAGAGCACTCTAATTAGATCGCTGTCGATACCTTTCTGCAATCGAAGAGAGTATTCACTGGGGGCCATGTTTGTTGCTAATCAAAGTCGTCTTGATCCTTTATATGTATACACGGATCTAGTTAGGAGGCAATGCATCCCTGATAAGAGACTACTGTCAAACTCACCTCTCATCGACATCTACCACACTTTAACACAACTCCAATGTGGTGTAGTGGCCAACATTGCTGTCTTTCATAGAGCAGCCGCCAAAATGAATATCTTACACAGCAGCCCGGGGTTCGATTCCCCGCATTGGAATTCCTATTAATCTGTTTCATGTTTTTTTTTTTTTTTTTGCGTTCTTACTAGGTACGCAGAAGAGGTTCTAGTGTGAGAAAGCGTTGCCTTGAAACTTAGTTAAAGTCCACCTGGGGGAACAGACCCTCCAAGCTGAATGCGAGGTTTTAGGTGGGTAATTCATCGCCCCCAACCCATGTGTGAGTTACGATACCAAAAACGTGAAGACTCTTCTTCTTCTACATGATAAAATTCATTTCGTGCGATACGGGACGGACGGCTCTTGTGT